CCCATAGATTTTGAGTTGTCGTGTCTCCATTGTCATTTGTTTCTAGGTATTTTTTGATTTCCTCTTTGATTTCTTCAGTGATCACTTCGTTATTAAGTAGTGTATTGTTTAGCCTCCATGTGTTTGTACTTTTTACAGATCTTTTCCTGTAATTGATATCTAGTCTCATAGCGTTGTGGTCGGAAAAGATACTTGATACAATTTCAATTTTCTTAAATTTACCAAGGCTTGATTTGTGACCCAAGATATGATCTATCCTGGAGAATGTTCCATGAGCACTTGAGAAAAATGTGTATTCTGTTGTTTTTGGATGGAATGTCCTATAAATATCAATTAAGTCCATCTTGTTTAATGTATCATTTAAAGCTTCTGTTTCCTTATTTATTTTCATTTTGGATGATCTGTCCATTGGTGAAAGTGGGGTGTTAAAGTTTCCTGCGATGAATGTGTTACTGTCGATTTCCCCTTTTATGGCTGTTAGTATTTGCCTTATGTATTGAGGTGCTTCTATGTTGGGTGCATAAATATTTACAATTGTTATATCTTCTTCTTGGATCGATCCCTTGATCATTATGTAGTGTCCTTCTTTGTCTCTTCTAATAGTCTTTATTTTAAAGTCTATTTTGTCTGATATGAGAATTGCTACTCCAGCTTTCTTTTGGTTTCCATTTGCATGAAATACCTTTTTCCATCCCCTTACTTTCAGTCTGTATGTGTCTCTAGGTCTGAAGTGGGTCTCTTGTAGACAGCAAATATATGCGTCTTGTTTTTGTATCCATTCAGCCAATCTGTGTCTTTTGGTGGGAGCATTTAGTCCATTTACATTTAAGGTAATTATCGATATGTATGTTCCCATTCCCATTTTCTTAATTGTTTTGGGTTCGTTATTGTAGGTCTTTGCCTTCTTTTGTGTTTCTTGCCTAGAGAAGTTCCTTTAGCAGTTGTTGTAGAGCTGGTTTGGTGGTGCTGAACTCTCTCAGCTTTTGCTTGTCTGTAAATGTTTTAATTTCTCCATAAAATCTGAATGAGATCCTTGCTGGGTAGAGTAATCTTGGTTGCAGGTTTTTCTCCTTCAACACTTTCAGTATGTCCTGCCAGTCCCTTCTGGCTTGCAGAGTTTCTGCTGAAAGATCAGCTGTTAACCTTATGGGGATTCCCTTGTGTGTTATTTGTTGTTTTTCCCTTGCTGCTTTTAATATGCTTTCTTTGTATTTAATTTTTGATAGTTTGATTAATATGTGTCTTGGCGTATTTCTCCTTGGATTTATCCTGTATGGGACTCTCTGTGCTTCCTGGACTTGATTAACTATTTCCTTTCCCATATTAGGGAAGTATTCAACTATAATCTCTTCGAATATTTTCTCAGTCCCTTTCTTTTTCTCTTTTTCTTCTGGAACCCCTATAATTCGAATGTTGGTGCGTTTAATGTTGTCCCAGAGGTCTCTGAGACTGTCCTCATTTCTTTTCATTCTTTTTTCTTTATTCTGCTCTGCATTAGTTATTTCCACTATTTTATCTTCCAGGTCACTTATCCGTTCTTCTGCCTCAGTTATTCTGCTATTGATCCCATCTAGAGTATTTTTAATTTCATTTATTGTGTTGTTCATCGTTGTTTGTTTCATCTTTAGTTCTTCTAGGTCCTTGTTAACTGTTTCTTGCATTTTGTCTATTCTATTTCCAAGATTTTGGATCATCTTTACTATCATTATTCTGAATTCTTTTTCAGGTAGACTGCCTATTTCCTCTTCATTTGTTAGGTCTGGAGGGTTTTTATCTTGCTCCTTCATCTGCTGTGTGTTTTTCTGTTTTCATTTTGCTTATCTTACTGTGTTTGGGGTCTCCTTTTTGAGGCTGAAGGTTCGTAGTTCCTGTTGTTTTTAGTGTCTGTCCCCAGTGGCTAAGGTTGGTTCAGTGGGTTGTGTAGGCTTCCTGGTGGAGGGTACTAGTGCCTGTGTTCTGGTGGATGAGGCTGGATCTTGTCTTTCTGGTGGGCAGGTCCACGTCTGGTGGTGTGTTTTGGGCTGTCTGTAGACTTATTATGATTTTGGGCAGCCTCTCTGCTAATGGGTGGGGTTGTGTTCCTGTCTTGCTAGTTGTTTGGCACAGGGTGTCCAGCACTGTAGCTTGCTGGTCGTTGCGTGAAGCTGGGTGCTGGCGTTGAGATGGAGATCTCTGGGAGATTTTCGCTGTTTGATATTATATGCAGCTGGGAGGCCTCTTGTGGACCAGTGTCCTGAAGTTTGCTCTCCCACCTCAGAGGCACAGCACTAACTCCTGGCTGCAGCACCAAGAGCCTTTCATCCACACGGCTCCTTAATTTGGGATGATTCGTTGTCTATTCATGTATTCCACAGATACAGGGTACATCAAGTTGATTGTGGAGCTTTAATCCGCTGCTTCTGAGGCTGCTGGGGGAGATTTCCCTTTCTCTTCTTTGTTCTCACAGCTCCCAGGGGCTCAGCTTTGGATTTGGCCCCGCCTGTGCGTGTAGGTCGCCGGAGGGCGTCTGTTCTTTGCTCAGACAGGACAGGGTTAAAGGAGCCACTGATTCGGAGGCTCTGGCTCACTCAGGCCGGGGGTAGGGAGGGTCACGGAGTGCGGGACAGGCCTGCGGCGGCAGAGGCCAGCGTGTCGTTTCCAGCCTGAGGCGCGCCGTGCGTTCTCCCGGGGGAGTTGTCCCTGGATCCCGGGACCCTGGCAGTGGCGGGCTGCCAGAAGGGGGGTGTGGATAGTGACCTGTGTTCGCACACAGTCTTCTTGGTGGCGGCAGCAGCGGCCTTAGCGTCTCATGCCCGTCTCTGGGGTCCGCACTTTTAGCCACGGCTCGCGCTCGTCTCTGGAGCTCCTTTAAGCAGCGCTCTTAATCCCTTCTCCTCGCGTACCAGGAAATAAAGAGGGAAGAAAAAGTCTCTTGCCTCTTCGGCAGGTCCAGACTTTTCCCCGGACTCCCTCCGGCTAGCCGCGGTGCAGTAACGCCCTGCAGGCCCTGCAGGCTGTGTTCACGCCGCCAACCCCAGTCCTCTCCTGGCCCTCTGACTGAAGCCGGAGCCTCAGCTCCCAGCCCCGCCCGCCCCGGCTGGTGAGCAGACAAGACTCTCGGCTGGTGAGTGCCGGTCGGCCCTGATCCTCTGCGCTGGAATCTCTCCGCTTTGCCCTCCGCACCCCTGTTGCTGTGCTCTCCTCCGCGGCTTCGAAGCTCCCCCCTCCGCCTCCCGCAGTCTCCGCCCGCGAAGGGGCTTCCTAGTGTGCGGACACTTTTCCTCCTTCACAGCTCCCTCCCGCTGGTGCAGGACCCGTCCCTATCCTTTTGTCTCTGTTTATTTTTTCTTTTGCCCTAACCAGGTACGTGGGCGGTTTCTTGCCTTTTGGGAGGTCTGAGGTCTTCTGCCAGCGTTCAGTGGGTGTTCTGTAGGAGTTGTTCCACGTGTAGATGTATTTCTGGTGTATTCTTGGGGAGGAAGGTGATCTCCGCGTCTTACTCTTCCGCCATCTTCCCGGAAGTCTCTCTCTTTGCTTTGTCTTACATAATATAATTAAGAGATATTTGTATAACGAATTAATGAATGATTGTTTTATTTCCTTTTTGATTGTAAGCCTTAATTGAAGGCACTGGTTGTCATATATTTTTTTGATTTTCCAAGAGCCTGATAAGAGACAAAGCTTTATTCATTGGAAATGCTTGATTAGTACTTCATGGTATTGTGTAGATAGATAGGACCTTTGTTTGAATCCCAGCTCTGCCACTTACAAACTATATAAAGTTAAATAAAATGCCAAACTTCACAATACCTTGGTTTCTCCATTAGTGAAATAGAAATAAAAATGTTATGCAGGTGAGAAATAAATGAATTAATAGGTATAAAATACTGTCTGTGTTAGTATCATCATCGTCATCATTTTTATTTATTTATTTTTGACTGTGTTGGGTCTTCATTGCTGGGCACAGGCTTTCTCTAGTTGCAGCGAGCGGGGGCTACTCTCTGTTGCGGTGCACGGGCTTCTCATTGCAGTGGCTTCTCTTGTTGCAGAGCACAGGCTCTAGGCACGCAGGCTTCAGGAGTTGTGGCACGTGGGCTCAGTAGTTGTGGCTCACAGGCTCTAGAGCGCAAGCTCAGTAGTTGTGGCACTCGGGCTTAGTTGCTCCGCAGCATGTGGGATCTTCTCGGACCAGGGCTCGAACCTGTGTCCCCTGCACTGGCAGGCAGATTCTTAACCACTGCGCCAGCAAGGAAGTCCATCGTCATCATTTTAAACAACATAAGAAGGGGTTTGGAACATACCTTGTGTGTTAATTTTCTACCCACAGTTAAAACCCTATTTCATTTCCAGTTATTGATTATATTCCCACCTCAGAGTTTTGTGGTAAGTTTTGAGTTTGGATATAAGTAATTTAAATAGAAGATGATGTAATTTGAACACATTTCCACAATTAAGGTAGTGAGGAGTGTCTTGGGGGACCAGTACAACATTGTCTATGGAGATATGGTTCTGTTCTGCCTTTCTTCCTCTTGTCTTTGGTTACTTTGTATTGTCCGTTCCAATTAGAAGAGAGCTACTTAAATTCATTTTAAGCATGGGGATTTGTAATAATGTGAATTCCAATTTCCAAAGGGCAAGATAATTAAGAACAAAGCAGAGCTCTCCCCCTTATAGTGTTCTCATGTGATAGGGCTGAGAACTTCCCTCCTGGATGAGTTTATCGTTCTAGTAATCAGCATTGCCATTTATCTCTTAGTCCATTTGTGTACTTGTCATTTTCTCCCCATCTTTAGTTTCACAGGAAGTTCCAAAAAATCTGGGTTGGAATTTATACAACCTAGTTTGAGAAGGATGGAAACTGATCCTTTCAGCTATGATCATAGGTTACTGCAGTATTCTCATCCTTTTTGCTGGATTTACTGAGAAGTCTGGTCCAGTGGTCAGATACTACTTTGTAACTTTGATTGCGATAGTGTTTATTGATTGATGCTTACAGGTACTGTTTTCTTTTTCTCCCCTAGACTGAAACCAAAATTGCGACGTCTGCCCTGACTGCTGTTGCAACTCCAAGAACTGTAGACCTTGCCCATCCAAGGATTAAGATAGAGGGTCTGTGCTTTGAAAGAGAAAGAAGTGAAATGCCCATCCGTCCTGTAAGCCATCACTACCTTAGCATCCTTCAGCTCACTTTCTGTTTGTTCCTAGGGTGTTGTTTTGCTTCTATAGGGTATCAGTAAGAGCTGGGTTCAAATTCCTGCCTCACCACTACTAGTTGTGTGATGTTGTAATAACCTTCCTGAGCGTTATTCATTCAATAAGGATTTGAATCTCTACTGTGTGCCCGGCACCGTGCCCAGTGAACAAGATGGAAGGAGACAGAAAATAAATAAGGAAACAGATAAGATAATGTCAGGTAGTGGTAAGTGCTATGAAGAAAATAAAATGGAAAAAAATAAAAAATAAAATGGGAAATGAGTGACTATGGCTGGGGGTGGAGAATAAGCTTCTTTGCATACGGTAGTCAGGGAAAGCCTCTCTTAAGGAAGGGATGTTTGAGCTGAAACCTGAATAATGAGAAGGAGTCAGCTAAGTGAAGATCTGAGAAGAGAATGTTCTAGTAGAGGGAAGAGCACATGACAAAGTCCTTAAGTAGGATAGCTTTGAAGTTGGGTGGAGCAAGGTGAGCAAGGGGATTGTGAAGGTAACAGTTCCCAGTTTCAGGGCTGTTCAGACTTGTGATAATAGATAAGGCAGGTGCTCAGCACAGAGCCTGGCACGCTCAGTGGATTGTTCGGGGGTTTTAAAAAATCCTTTAAAAAAGTGATACCATGGCACATAATCATACTCTGAGAACCCAAACTAATCTGTATCAGTGCAAATATAGAACATTTTCAGGGCTACTGAGTGGTGTTTGCTGTGGTCCTCATTCTTTTGAATGAGCACTTGAGAGAGAGAATAGTAGCTCTATGTCATCTTTCCTATTTTACCAGTAAAGCAACATAATAGAAAGGCCTCCTGGCAGATGTGGTTTCCAAAGTAAGACCAAAGGGAGTTGATGAGTCAGTCAGAATATATTTATTCAGCACCAGTTATGCAACAGAGCCTAGTCTAGCTTTTGGCAAACAAGTACTTCTCTCAAGCGGCTTATATTCTGGTGGGGAAAAACAGACAGTAAACATAACCAACAATGAAATAAATGAGCTAAGTCAGGTGTTGTTAAGTGCTATGAAGAAGATTAAATAAGTACTGTGGAAGAGGGTAATTAGAAAGGCTGATATATCTTGGATGGTCAGGGAAGAACTCCTTGAGGATGTGATGTTTGAGTCTAGGGACTTGAATGACGAAGAGGCAGCCATGACAAGATTGAGGAAAGAGGGTTTCAAGCAGAACTAGTAAATGCAAAGGTCCTGAGGTGGAAAGAGCTGGGCCAGAGGGGCCTTGTGTGACTAGGGTCATAGTGATTGAGGTGGGGATGGGAGGAAGGTGAGGTTGGAGGAGAGTATAGTAGGCAGATCATGTAGGACCTTCTAGGCCACGGTAAGGAGCCTAGGTGTTATTCTTAGCAAAATGGAAAGCCACTGGAAGATTTTAAACACTGTGAGTGACATGATCTGGCTTGGGCCTTGGAAAGTACTTCCCTCATGAAGTTGTTACGGTGATTGCATGGGAATGATTTAGGCAGATCGCTGAGAACACTGTCTAGCTCATGGAATACACTTGTTAAAATGCTCCTTCTCTCCCTCAGTAACTGCTGTGTGAAGGCTGGGTTGTGGAGGAGTGAGAATGGAAGCAGGGAGATCAGTTAGGAGAGTCTGTTACAGTAATCCAGGAGAGAAAGGATGGTGACTCGATTAGGGCTATAGTTGAAAATAGAGGGAGACGTGGTGAAATTTGAGGTATGTTTTTGTGTCGTTTTGTTTTGCACTATAGATATCCGGTGCTGCCTTGCTCGCCAAACCTAGCCCTCGAATACTAGCTCTAGCTAAGCCCAGGCCTCTTCATCAAGATTATTTACCTCCCCGTGATGCCTACTGGCCAGTATCTTGTGCTGCTCTCCATTCCAAGATATCTCCCAGAATTCAAGAACTAGCTAATCCAAATACAAGGTGTGTCAATCTAAGGCTAAGATGGGACAGGAAAGGCAGGGGGTGCTAGGGACAGGGAAAAGTTGACCTATTAAGTTCAGTGAAATGAATCATAGAAATAGTAAAAATTTTAAAAATCATCTTATTTGTTACATTTATTGTGACAAATCTATGGTCTTCTTACCATAAATATAAGGCTACAGTTAAAGGGTTAGTGGACTAGTATTGAACTTTAGACCTAGGAGACAACTCTGTAATTATGGATATGGGATTATTTATCTAACATATATTGATAAGGATTATTTATCTAACATATATTGATCTAATAAGTTGCAGAACAGAAACATAATATGTTGTAATTTGTGTAAGAAAAAAATACATATATGCCATATATTTGCTTACATATGCCTATACTGTCTCACAGGAGTATGTAAGAAGCTAGTAACAATGGTTACTTTGGGGGCCTAGGGAGCCGGGATGGTAGGAAGACTTATTTTTTACTAAATAGGCTTTTGTATTTTTCAATGTTTTTGCATCATGTACATGTATGAACTATTTCAAATAAATCGGAAAATATATTCAACAAAGAAGAAATTGCCTCTAATTCCTATTCATTTTTTAGAAGACCTCTCAACTTGTCTGAACCTCAATTCATTTTGTTACCTTCAAGAGATAATACCTGATCCCCTTTTTGAAGCACCATCAAGAAAACCTAACTGAAAAAGTAGTAGTCTTGAGCTCAGGGAATAGGAAATGTGTTTGGTCTTATATAATAAAATATTTTTTTAAAAAATTTTAATTTTAATTTTATTTTATTTATTTATTTATTTATTTATTTATTTATTTTTGGTTGCCTTGGGTCTTTGTTGCTGTGCATGGGCTTCCTCTAGCTGCAGCGAGCAGGGGCTACTCTTTGTTGCGGTGCGTGGGCTTCTTATTGCGGTGGCTTCTCTTGTTGTGGAGCACGGGCTCTAGGCGCGCGGGCTTCAGTAGTCGTGGCTCGCAGGCTCTAGAGCGCAGGCTCGGTAATTGTGGTGCACGGGCTTAGTTGCTCCGCAGCATGTGGGATCTTCCGGGACCAGGGCTCGAACCCATGTCCCCTGCATTGGCAGGCGGATTCTTAACCACTGCACCACCAGGGAAGTCCAGATTTTAAAAATCTTTATAATGTGTTTTTCCTTAAAAAAAAAAGTTCAACATCAAATGAAATGACACTCATTCTCTGATCACTGACAAAGGAAAGTGAGGAGTAAGACCAAGTGCTCAAGAGTCTATCCTGGTAGCAAGATTATTATTTGGTGGTTAAGGTATTAAGGATGAAAACTTCAAAAAATTGATTTCTTTAATTTCACCAGTGGATTGTCTGGCTTGTTTTAACATCGTCAAATTATTGAGAAATTTCCAGAATTTACTTTCTATGGAAAGAGGAAAGCCTTCGGAATCTGACACATATACACATCTAGACTTGACCACAGGTCACTCTTACAACGTCCCTGAGCCTTCATTTCCTTATATGTACAGTGGAGGTCATGATACCTGTTTGATGTGGTGCTTAAGAAAATCAAAATGAGATAATATAGTGCCTAACACATAGTGGATGCCTGAGAAATGTTAGTTCCCTTTTCTGTTCATCTTATTTTAAGTCAAATCCTTTTTTCCATTTCAGGACTCCTGTGCATATTGTATATTACGATCCAGAAGTCTTTAAAGTCAAGCCAGCTGCTTTGAAAGCACAGTGTTCTCCGAGGATCCATGAGTTGGCACAACCTCTTACGCGTTAAGCACAGAAAGCCACATCAGTCAAACTCATTATGTTTCTAGAAGACATATTAGATGACTTAGTTCCCTTGTCTGGTACTGTCAGTTTATAGCCCCCACTCCCTCAAAGCACACGAGACCTCTAGGGAACACCACTGCTGCTGTTACCTGTAATCATGTCTTTAGCAGGTTTGGGGACTCCAGCATGCAATAAAAGAGAAAATGATAGCCTGCCTTATTATCCTTACTATCTCCTCACGTGCATCTTGGCTGTCTCATTGCTCTGACTGACCTGAAGATACATTCTTCCTTATATTTGCTAGTTTTGCTTTTCTTTTCCCAGTGAGATCTGTGTTCTCCAGTAGCTGATCTCACCTCAGTGCCTTCTCTAATAAATCCTGAGAACTGAAATCATTCCTTGTGTTACTTTTCCAACGTCCCCTCATTACCAAGAAATAACACTGAAATGGTGAAGCCTTTGTGGCTAAGTCAAAATGCTTTATATAATCTGTAGATGAAATTGAGGGAGTAGGTTACCTTAAATGATCACATCTCCACCAACTTCTGTTCCTTCACTCATGCTCAGTGTCATTTATCATGAATGACAGAAGAAGCTAAACATTTGGTAAGCATTATAATGCTTTGTCAAATTGCATCTGCCCAGAGTTTTTATTTCATTTGCTTTATTCTCTCCATGGATGAGTATTTTACAAAGTAAACTAACTTTTATGGCCTATCTAGATTTACATGAAAATGAACTTGTTTGAAAACCAGTTTTACAGATGAATGAGTTCTATCTCTAAGGCCTTTATGTTAAAGAGATAACTAGTGTCGTGGAGAGGCAATACCATACAATAGTTTTGGTTGGTTTTGGTTTTTGTATTTTTTTTTTTTTTTTTAGGTAGAAAAAAGGCTAGGTGTATTGATTAAAATGAAGCTAAATTCTTTTCCTAGCTCTAATGAAAATAAACAAGTCTAGAGCTATTGAATTTGAATCCAACAAACAGGAAGAGAGACAGTCACTTTTCACGGTCATTGCTTTTTGAGATAGGCCCGTGGTAGATTTGTCCATCCTTGGATTGCACAGCAAGTGTATTTTTTGTACTATTGGAATAAATCACCTAAATTGCCCAAATTGAACCTAGTATGTAAATTGATTACTGCAGGACAAAAAGTCCAACTGGAATTTGTCTGGGTCTAGAATAAATCATGACATTTATAAAACCCAAGTACATTTCTGAGATACCTTCAATGTTTGTATGTTTCAGAACATGATGAAATGTATCCATTAAAAAGTACTCTGAAGAGATGGACCTCCAGCAAGGTGGCATGGGAACTCCAGTGACCACACTCTCCAGTGAATGTTATTATTTTTTTAAATTAGAGCTTCTGGAAATGGCCCTTAGGATAAACAACAAATGAAGAAACATCTATTCAGGGATATCTATGAAAATTCAGTAAGAAAGGTGAGAGTCTGTGATATTCAAACTACATGTAAGCCGATTGTTTCTTGCCATGAATTACGGTTCTGTTTTTAAATTCACATTTAAAAATTAATTTATAATTCAAATTAAATTATATTCACCTTTTGCCTATTTCCTCCCTTTGACTTGGATACAAGAATCTTAGAGCCTAATGAATGTAATGTCCAAACATGGTGAGCCCCTCAGCAAGTAAAATTCCTAGCATCACGACTAGTCATAGCAGGAAACCAAGCAATAACAGCTGCCACCATCATCACCTCCTCCACCACCACCGCAGGAGATTGACAGCTCATCTGTGCCCCTCTTCTGCTTGGTTTCCGGTACTTTAATCTGAATTTAGTTTTACTTGTTCCATGGAGTGTATATGTGTGTGCATGTTCATAAACATGTGTGTCTGTATTTGTCTTTATTACGTGTTTGCGTGTAAATTGAAAACTTCCTGAATCCGTTAAAGAAGTGGTTACATTATAATTAAATAATCTCATTGAGGAATACTACAGAGGCCTGTGATTAACTACCAAAAGTTATAATAACTTCGCTAAGAAGCTCAAATGTCTTCTCACCCCTTTTAGCTGTCGAGTGTAATAGCTGTAAATGTCCACCTTTCTGCAACTTTTATTCCCAGACTACTGTATTAACTGTCTCTGTTAAGCCTTGGAGTGATTTTCAGCTCCCTGTTAGGAGAAAGGTGGAGAATGTTATTATTAGATTTGTGAAATTTAGGTAAGTTAAGATTGTTAATTTTGGAATATGCCATCAGTGAGACTATGCATGGTCTACCTAAACTATCGAAGGATTTTTTTTAAAGCCACTAGTTCAAGAAGGCCTGAAATTCCTCAGGACAAAAGATGAAGGTTAAAACTGTTATATTCTGCCTTACCTGATAATATTCCCTTCTTCCCCCCTCTGGTTCTCAAAAACAAAATGAAAGCTTAATTGAAAGTTCCCACTAGATAAGTTTAATTAAACAGCATTTTGTTATACTTGACTATCATTGTACCCCTAACTCAAGCATCTGAATAATTATTTTCTATTTTCATAACTCAAGTGTAGACTAACTTCACATTGAATTAATCATTAAAGCAAAGCTCATTAAAATGCTGATATAAAATGTTTTGTTTTGATTTCTTGAACAGTAGGAAAAATTAAATATATTCATCTAAATATTCAAAAGAGAAGGTAGTCAAAATTTGTATGAAGAAAGTCAACTGACCTTAAAGTGCCAAAATGAATACCTCTATTTAATAAATAACAGCATATTTTACAGGGAGGTAAAAAGGAAAGCATTCCATTGTTAATGGGTGTTGTATTTTACTAAATTTAAATAGTGTACTAGTGAGTAATAATTGACCACTATTACTCTGGTAGTTATAATTGAAAAGTAAGGGGCTTCCCTGGTGGCACAGTGGTTAAGAATCCGCCTGCCAATACAGGGGGACACGGGTTCGAGCCCTGGTCCAGGAGGATCCCACATGCCGCGGGGCAACTAAGCCTGTGCGCCACAACTACTGAGCCCGCGCTCTGGAGCCCGTGAGCCACAACTACTGAAGCCCACGTGCCACAACTACTGAAGCCCACACGCCTAGAGCCTGTGTTCTGTGACAAGAGAAGCCACCTCAATGAGAAGCCCACGCACTGCAATGAGAAGCCCACGCACCGCAACGAAGAGTAGTCCCTGCTCACCACAACCAGAGAAAAGCCTGCGTGCAGCAACGAAAACCCAACATAGCCAAAAATAAAATCTATTAAAAAAAAAAATCAAAGAAATACCTCACATTTAAGTAATAATTTTAACTTCTTTAATTCCCAAATATTATTAGTTTTACCTTCAATTATACTATAAGAAGAGATAGAGAAGACATTCTACTTTGTTTAGATTTCTTATTGAAAAACAGAACTAGAAGTTATGTACCTTTATTTAACTATAAAAATGCTAAACTATGAATCATCCAGGTGTTGTTTTATTGTGATTTAACCATGGATTTAATGCTTTTCTTGAACAATCAATGAAATGTTCGGTACTCTGGATTTTTATCTGAAGGACTGAAACTAAACATGTTGAACAATCTCTCCAGATTGTTTTAAAAATTAGTAGCAATTCTAAATAGCTTCTTTTGGAACTAGGAGGAAGAATTTTATATAACTATATAGATTATATAATTATATAATTTTAAAAATATATATATATATATATATTTACCTCAACCACTTTTTTTTTTTTGAGGTGAGATTGGTATACGACATCATATGGTAGATTTGAACTTGAATTTTGGAATCAGACCTGGGTTTGTATCCCACGTGGATCATTTACCAGGTATGTGATTTTGAAAAAATTCCCTAACTCCCTGTGCCTCAGTTTCTTTATGTATAAAGTGAGCTCCTGTGGCATTATTGTAAAGAGTAAATAAGAACATTATGTAATAAAGTATGAATTGGAAAAAATTGTTTAAAATTTAGCTCCTTTTGCCTTCTAAGGCGGGAGTGGCATAATTCATATCACTGGGAAAAGAAATATCTTTATGGCTTGATTCATACATTAAATGAATGTTTGTTTGATGTCTTTGCTTTGCCAGGCACTGTGCTAGGCACTAAAGCTATCATAGTAAGCCAAACATATATGGGCTCTGCTCTCATAGGCTGTTTAGCCAATTGGGAGACATGGATGTTATTCAAACATTCACAAATAAATGTAAAATACAGCAGTGGCAAGTGCTATGAAGGAGAGGTTATAGTGCTATAAAATGACAGAATAGAGAACTTTGACTCCTTGGGAAGGTGAGGGAAGGATTCTTTAATGAAAGGACGTTGGGCTGGAATCTAAAAATTAAGTAGTGTTAACTAACAAAGAAAGGACAGGAAATCAATGCAGGTAGTGGGAAATGTGGTTAGTGGATATTTGTTGATTTGGGGGCGACCCTGCACCCATTCCTCCTCCTTCTGGTAAGAACCCCCAATTTTCTTTGGGGGATTTCTCTTCATCGATAAAGGTTTATTGAGACTTTTATTCCAGGTACCCTGGCCGAGGGATGGGCATGTGACCTGAGCCAGCTCATTGAACTGTCCTCTGGGGCTTTGGATCATGGGCAGAGTGGTGCAGAGGCAGGGGTAGTTGGAGGCGGTCGTTCCCAGTAGTGGTGCCCTGATGAGACTTCACTGTTCTCCTCCTACTTTTGATACCTGGAGCTGCCCAGGCCCCCACCGCGGCCCTCCCCTGTTCATCTGCCTCAGGAGCTGTGCACAGCCTTGCAGTAAATCCCCTGTGGCAGATGGGTAGAGGTGTTGGGGACTGAAAGGCCAGCGTGGCTCAGATGGGAAGCAAAAAGGGGTTGTGTGATCAGTGACGAGGCAGCAGATGGAAGCCAGACTGTACAGGGCCCTGGAGGCCACCTTGAAGATTTTAGTCTTTATACTGAAACCAGTGGGAGCTGTTGAAATAATTTAAGCATGAGGATAATGTAACCATGGTTGCCTTTTGAAAACATTACTTCTACAAATAAATTGGGGAGGGGGCAGTGGAGGTAGACAGACCAAGTTAGGGGGCTACTTAGTAGATCAGATGAAAGATGAAAATAGTTTGGTGGTACCATGGTGGAGATGCAAGGAAGAGACAGGCCTTGAGAGATATTTGAGGAGGTGTATTTTCACAGGATTTGGTGATGGATTGGATGTGGGGTTGGGGAGAGAAAAGCATTCAAGATAATTCCTCGATTTCTAACTTATGAAACAATATATAGATAGTGAGGGTCTGAATATACAGGTGGACAATGGCCAGGCCACATATGACAGTACAACTCTGACTCACCACCTGTGCAGCAACCAGGTCAGGAATCCAAACCACAGCCTCTGCAGCAATCAGCCCAGAATGGTCAGGATCTGGCCAGTGGTCCCAACTGATACCTAATTTTTGCCCCCACTTCCATCTCAGGACCAAGTAGAGAAAGCCAAATATATTCCCCAAGCCAATCGCATAGGATGCCCTGTTTCTAGTTAGGCAGTCTCCACCTTCCCCATGCCAACAGGGTCTAACAGAGTATTCCTAAAGCCACCATCCCCTGCCCCCCTTGCCCCCCACCCCACTATAAAGCTGTCCCACTCCTCTGCCTTTGAGTCTCTGCCAACTGCAAGTAATGGTGGCTGACTCCCTGGCCATAGCAGGCTCTGAATAAACAGCCTGGGTGTGTTCTCATTTGACTGATCTTTCCCACAACAGTGAGCCCTTCACTGACGTAGGGAACACCGGGAGATGACCAGAAGAAAAGAGTGGAAAAGCATGAGTTCAGTTCAGGACACTTAGATTAGAGGACACCTTTGAGACATCTAAAAGGAGATGGCAGCTGCAGGGCTGTATTATGACTTTCAGGGACCCTAGGCACTTTTGCTTTTCTGGGTCCTTTCTTCCTTAAAATAATATTAAAAATTATATTTTATGACTGCATTAGTATAAAGATGAACATATAAATATTATATATTAAGACTTTTTCAAATTAAAAGTTCATCTTTTTTTCTCATATAGAAAGAACTAAAACATTTTTGTAATCTCCTGAAAATGTTATGGTCTGTAGGCAATGGGCCCACTGTGCCCAATGGAGCAGTCGGCCGGGTTCAGGTAGGCAGTCCTTACATGGGTCTGTGTTGTAGCGTCGAGGCCTGAGACCTGCTGCAGGTGTACATGTGCAAGTCATCTCAGTTAGCTGTGGTTGGAGCTACGGGGTAAGAGGGAGGACCAGGACAGGGGGAATCCTGACTTGATATTTGCTGATATTCGAGAATTGCTGTTAATTATATTTAGAAGGGTATTGGTATGGTGGTTATGCTTTTAAAAGCAGTTCTTTTAAAGATGCAAGCTGAGACAATTGTGAATAAAGTGATATCTAGAGTTTGCTTTGCAATAATCCCAACAGGGGAGTGGATGAGTGTATAGAGGAAACGACTCTTGGTTGTGAGTTGGTGATTGTTGAAACTAAGTGATGGAATCCTAGGGTTCATTGTCTAGACTATTCATTCAATAGTCCCTCTTCTGTTAGATATGTTTGAAGTTTTACATAATAAAGTGCAAGATAGGAGGGGAGCTACGATGGACAGTTACAGGTCTCAGCAGAGGCTTGAGGGGCCTGAGCAACTCAGAACTCCCCCAACGCTGCATACCAATCAGGTCTGCTTCACTCCCACACATTCGGTGTTAGGGCTGTTTAAGGGGAGAAATCAAGGCAATGTGTCTGTATTCCATGGCTGGGGACAGTGTGGGGAAGAACTAGCACATACAAGATGGTGAGGTAGTTTATAATTTGGTGGAAATAGGATTGTGGATTTACAACCCACTAGAAATAAGGTAAAACGAGATAAACTGGTGTTCCCACCCCAAATCCAGTGGAATGGGAGGGACTCAGGACTTTCCCCACACTTCTGGTGGGGGAGGGATTTTGAGTCAACTCTAATTCAATTTTCAAAGGTCAGGATACCTCTGTCGACCTCTAGGTTGCAAGTGCTTGATACACAAGATGTGAACAAGTGGGAACAGAGAAGGTGTTAAAGACTTGTTTGTTAACCTGGATTTGGTTGAAGGAAGAAAAATTGGAGCATCAATATTACATGGCTTCCTGCAGTCTAGGAGAGAGGGGGTGAAGGCAATTCCATTTCTGGTTCAAGGTGGTTGGTCTGGAATGAAGCCTTACCAAGTATTAGCTGTGCAACCCTGTTCAAATTACTTAACTTCTCAATGAAAAAGGGCTAATAGTGTTTGCTGTTGAGATTTGGAAGTTTCCAGTAACTTATACCCATCCTTTCCCTGCCTGAGTCCAGAAACAATTGAAAAACCCAGGCAGATGGAGTTCAAAACAACTCATTTACAATTGGTAAAGCTGTTTGGAGAAGGTGACTTTGGTGGACCAATTGGATTTCTAATATCCCCCTCCTCCTGAACTGAACTGAGCCCCTGGTTCAATTCACCAGGCACACCAGCCCCCGGAGCAGGCTGAACACACTCTGCTTATGGCTCTAACATCGCAAGGAGGGAGAAATGCACTCCTTCTCCTAGATTCGCCAGCGGAGGAGTCACTGCTCCCACGGGAGGAAATAGGGGTGGGTGAGGGCAAAAACCAGGAAGTTCTTCTCTGGGGAATTCTCCCTCTCCACATGGAAATGGGAGCACAAGTGTTCATCTCTAACACCTACCTCACTGGGTTCTTGTGCAGTATTGTACTTAGCACAGTATCCAGTACATGGTAAGTAGGTTTTGTTTTCTTAGTCATTATTATTAGTGGATATTAAGATGCTTCTCACATCTTTTTGGATAATGGAGTTTACTTCCTCTGGTGGTACCCATTGCAGTCCCAATGAAAACACAATCCTCCTATCAAGAAGTGGAGTCCACTTCCCCATGCCTTGAGTCTGGGGTGCCTGTGACTTGCTTAGACCAACAGAAGGTGGCAGAAGTGACATTGTAGGACTTCCAAGTCCAGGCCCTGAGCAGCCTTGCCTTCTTGGCACGCTGCTGCAGAACTGCATGGAAAGAAACCCAGCCTCCCTGAGAGACCTCATAGCAAGAGAAGTCCAGACCTCCCCTCTGAGCCCGGCGGCCAGCTCGCCCTCTGCTGAATGCATCCATGTGAGTGAGCCAGCAGGACCAGCAGAAGGACTGCCCGGCCAACCCACAGAAAGGTCAGGAAGGAAAATGATGGTTTTAAGCTCCTCTTTGGGGTTGGTTTGTTATTCAGCAGTGTGGAACTGAAACAGTGAACAAGCTGGTGGAGTAAGAGACTGAAGCCGTGGGTGGTAGGGAGGGCAGCAAGGGGTTTGGACTGCAGCCAGCTGATCTTCAGAGGTTTGTGAGCAAGTACTTGGTTAGGGTCTGCTAAAGGAGCAGGCACACACTTCTCCCTCAATTAGTTGTTTTAAGTGCCTTTATCAACTTGTGTGAACTAACCTACAGCAGACGTGAACTTAAGTGACCCCTGACTGGCCAGTAAGAAACTGCACAGGCTCCGGACGCGCAGGCTCAGCGGCCATGGCTCACGGGCCCAGCCGCTCCGCGGCACGTGGGATCTTTCCAGACTGGGGCACGAACCTGCGTCCCCTGCATCGGCAGGCGGACTCTCAACCACTGCACCACCAGGGAAGCCGTGTGTTGGTTTTTCTTCTCAGTCTGGGAGGTGCTGCCAGGTGGGAAAACTTCCCCACCCGTAGCAGCATGCATCTGCCTGCCTGCCTGCTGTCTGTTGCCAGGGCGTGGTCTGTTGGAACTGCCAGGATGTTGGGCATCCTAGGCTGGATTGCAAGACAGGGCAGGCAGAAGGTTGGAGACAGAGAAAGGGGGCTGGGGGAGCAGGGGAGCAGAAAGAAGCAGCTGGTCTTCAGTGTGAAGTGGGGAGCAAATTCACCCCAGGATACCAGGGACACGTAGGCAGTGGGCGGGCAGCTGCTCTGTGAACAGGGAGAGGGTGATTGAGGCTTGGGCAGATGGACATGAAAGGAAAGCAGTAACAGACCCCAGGTAACACACCGCAGTTTTCTGTAATGATCTAAGCAGGCAGGAGTGCCCTGGGGCTTGGATAGTTTAAAAGCATCACATTCCTGGCTTCAGCAAAGCTTAAAGCAAGGCCTAGGTCAGGGAGCCATTTTAAGTTCTGGCTTCTCTGGGATTTTTAAGTGACCCGTGACCCGTGATTGTCTAGTAAGAAGCTGCATTAACTGAGGCAGAGGAGTGCATTGCTCACTGACAGAGCTGAGCCTCCCATCTTACCTACCTCCCCACTCCTCCTTCCAGGGGGTTTTGCAACTAACGACCTATCTGAGGAGGTCCTGGCCTATGACCACCCTTGACAGCAGAGACATAGCACAGGCAGTAAGGAGAGGGAGGCTGAAGGCACTCGTTCTTTCACAGTTTGTGTTGATTTTTCTTGGTTGATCGCTGGTAGAGAAACAATAAGTGACTGTATTATATGATCTCATATAATACAGGGAGGCAGTGTAGATGTGGCTGGGAATGTGCTTTCTGGCATCAGAATGGCAGGATTTGAACCCTGGACCCGCCACTTACTAGCTCTGTGTCTTTGGATAAATTAACTAACTCCTCTGGGCCTCAATTTCCTCACTTGCAAAATGGAGCTAAGAATAGTGCTGTCAAATGCTGCTCCCCAAAGCACCACCAAAGAGCTTGTGGACAAAGCAAAGCTGAGTTTATAGCTCACTGAGTTAAGGGAGATCCCTACCTCAAGAGAGTTTTAGCAGCATCTAGTAAAGAGAGGGCAGTGGTGGGGTATTTATAGGTTTTCAGCTTGTTTAGGATTGTGCAAGGGCTTGACAGACACAGCAGGGTGAGGGTTTCCAAAGGAGTCTTTGCGAATTGATGAGACCAGTGGAGTACTTTCATGACAATCACAAAAGTTGTGTGTAACTTCATCTTCCTGGGCGAGAGTTTCCAAAAACCTATTACTGAAGGCAGTGGGTAAAAGTCATGCTAATGTAGACAGTGATCTGTGTAGGCACAGATGGTTTAGGTTCAAGTTCTCCCATTTACCTCCAGCACTGCTGTGAGGATTAAATGAGACAATGGGTGAAGTGCTCTAAGTGTAGTCATAGCACTTGATAAATGTTCAGTGATTATTGCTATTAGTAGCATTATTTTCCAGTCCAACCCCCATTTCTCTTGCCAGTTTGCTAGGGCATAAAATTCCATCTCCAGAATTGTTTTCTCATAACCTAAGGCTTTATCCCTTTTTAAAATGCAAACACAGGCAGAAAGGGTACCTCACTAAACCTAATCAGGCATTTACACCTCAGCATGGAGGAGTTTATAAAATCCTAAACAGGAAGCCTGGAAGCTTAGAATATAAGCTTTACTAATCCCTTAGGAGAAATGGCCCCATACATCCCTAAGCTGTTCTTGAGGAGCCTTGCAACATGCCCAATTACATGCAAGACTAAGGACAGTAACACTAGGTCCAGAACATCTGAATTTCCCCCTTTCAGTCTGGTGTCAGGCTGCTCCCATCTAGTAAGATGCTCTTACCTCCTTGGCATTTGTGCTTGCCCAGGGTTCTCCAGAGAAACAGAACCAGTAGGGGATTTTCTCCCTCCCTCCCTCCCTTCCTTCCTTCCTTCCTCTCTCACTTTTTGTCTCTTTCTTTTCTTTCATCCTATCTATCTAAATGGGACTTATTATGAGGAATCGGCTCACAAGATTATGGAGGCTGAGAAAGACCCATGATCTGCCGTCTGCAAGCTTGAGACCCAGCAAAGCCAGTGGTGTAATTCATTTGGGGTCTGAAGGCCTGAGACCCAGGGGAGCTGATGATATACATCCCAGTCTGGGGGCTTGACGTGATGAGATGAGATGTCCGAGCTCTAGCAGTGAGGTAAGAAAAAAAGACGGAAATTCCACCTGTTTCTGCTTTTTGTGCTACTCAGGTCTCCAGTGGATTGGGTGAAGTTCATCCACGTGGAGGAGGGCCATCTACTGAGTCCACCAATTCAAATGGTTAATCTCATCTGAAAACATCCTCACTGACACACCCAGAAATAATGTTTAGTCTGGACACCCCATGGCCAGTCAAGGTGACATATAAAACTAACCGTCTCAACCAGTCATAGAGAGGAGGTGGGGATTTGCAGGTGGAAGAGGTATGCGTCATTATCTCTAGAGAAGGAATAAGGTATGTTTTTGAAATCACACACTACCAGTGAAGCTCCTTAGGCTAGGGAGTTAGTAAGCTGCCCCACTTTACCCGAAGTACGTACACTCAGTCATCTCTTCTACAGGTTTCCACATCATGCCAACAGGCTCTAGACCTGGGGAGCTTAGCCCTGGCTATACCTTAGAGTCAACAGGGCAGCTTAAGAAAATACCTAAACCAGGTCTGCCCATGCAAACCTGACCGTCCAGCACTCAAGCAACTGAACCAAAATATTAAGGTGAGGCCCAGGCACTGCTCTTTTTCAGAAGTTGCGCAGGTGATGCTGATACACAGCGTGAAGAAGCACTGCTCCAGATCAGTGCTATTCAAACTTTAGCTGCACAAGAGTCACTCAGAGGACTTGTTCAAACACAGATTTTGGGCTTTCACTCCCCAGAGATTCTAATTCAGTAGGTCTGGGTTAGGGCTTGAAAATCAGTACTCCTAAGATGCTCCCAGGTGATGTTGATGCTATGTATTAGTTTTCGGAGGGCTGCCATAACAAAGGACCACAGCCTGGGTGGCTTAAACAACAGAAATTTATTTTCTCACAAGTCTGGTGTCTAGAAGTCCAAGATCAAGGTTTCAGCAAGGTTGGTTTCTTCTGGGTGTGTGGACCCCACCACTTTGAGTAGGAAGGCTCTAGATTCCACAGATCAAAGAAACAGTATGGGTTCACCAGTTAAGAGTCATTTATAAGAAATATGATCCCTAATGGAATGGCTTCTTTTATATATTCCTTTGATATTAATGAGATCTCTGAATTCTCTTTGCCCTTCCCTCTAGAGTGAAGTGAGCAAAGGGTAGAGAGGTGGACAAAGAGGTCTGAGGTCAGAGAAATAGCCAGGAACCAGGGCTTTGTAGACTATTATGAGGTCTTTTCACAGAAGGAGGAGATGAGGGCTCTCCATATTGTGACCTTCCGCTGAATATTCCAAGCTGCGGGAGATCTTCATATATTAAGATCTTCCTTTACCATCGTTCGTCAGCCAACTGTGATGTTCCACGGCAAGGTATCTGTATTTTCCTTTGCCCATTTCCCTGTTTTAGTTTAAAATAGGTTAACATTTAAAAAAATTTTTTTTGTTGTGGTAAGAACACTTAACATGAGATCTACCCTCTTAACAAATTTTATATGTACAATACCTCATTGTTGACTACAGGTACAATGTTGTACACCAGGTCTCCAGAGCTTATTCATCTTGTTGGACTGAAAATTTATGCCTGTTGGTTAGCAACTCCCCATTTCCCCCTCCCCCTAACCCCTAACACCATCATTCTACTCTCTAATTCTATGAATTTGCCTGTTTTAGATACCCCATATAAGTGGAATTATGCAGAATTTTCTTTCTGTAACAGGCTTATTTCACCTTAGCATAATGTCCTCAAGGTTCCTCCATGTTATTGCATATTGAAGGATTTCCTTTTTTTTTTTTTAAGGCTGAAGAGTATTCCATTGTCTGAATATATTACATTTTCTTTATCCATTTATCTGTTGATGGACATTTAAGTTCTTTCCATAGGTTGGCTATATGACAGGCAACAAAAACAAAAATAAACAAGTGGAACGACCTCAACCTCAAATGCCTCTGCACAATAAAGGAAACAGTCAGCTGAGTGAAAAGGCAATCTAGAGAATGAAAGGGAGAAAATATTTGGAAGCCATGTATCTGAAAACGGGTTAATCTGATAAGTGGTTAATCTCTAAAATATGTAAAAAGAACTCCTACAACTCCATTGTAAAAAAAAAAACAAAAAAGCTAGTCTACATAGGTTTGATACACATGGAGTGGCTCTTGTAGAATAAAATCATAGGCAGCACTAGCACACTAGCACGCACTGCAGAGTCACAGCTAAGGCCGGCTGGCTGGGATTCTGCAGCATCTACATTTACCTAAATGAATGTAAGAAGTTAGCTGAAAAATTGCTGTTTCGAAGCCTCTCCCTGGGCCTTCCTGCAGCAGCGAGTTGTAAGTCCTTCACGGGAAATGGCAGACCACAGCTACGGCCTGCCTGCAATTTACACAAAGTAACTTCTCAAGGAAAATAAAGTCATAGCCCAAGAATCAGACTGATTCTTGCACAGCCAGGGTGAAACCTCTTTAAATTAGTTGCTGTTGTCCAGCTCCTTGGAAGTTTTTCATGTTGAAAAAAAGAAAACACTTGGAATGTAACTAGACCTATTGTGATCATTTTGCAATGTATACAAATATCAAATAATTATGTGTGCACCTAAAACTAATATAATGTGTGTCAACTACACCTCAATTTTCTAAAAAAAACAAAAAACACAGCTTATATTCCACACACACAAATTTTTTTTTTTTTTTTGATGATCAGATAAAATGAGTTACAGCTTTAAGGGAACAAAATAAACTTCTCGTGTTTTTAAGGCACATGACTTTCAGCAGGGCAGGCTGAGGGGTGCATTTAGTTGTGGAAATGCATTGTAAGCAAATTTGACTTTTGTGAATCTAAAATGTTAGAAAGGAAAAACTTTTACTCTACTCTGTTAGGTTTAGTGTCTGTGGGTCTGTGAGTTAAACTGACACGAGATTAACAGGAGAAAAAGGTTTATTCGTATGTATATGAAAACCAACAAAAGCAGTAGTCGGCTCTTTAAATAGTTAAATATAGAGGTTTATGGACTAACTTAGTAGAGACTAGGGAGGAAAAAAGGTGTTATGGGAAGACAAATAGGTTTCTTTAGGAAAGACAAGTGGATTTTTAGGAGAACAAATGGGAGATAAGAAAGTTGGTGATGGGCTTCCCTGGTGGTGCAGTGGTTAAGAATCCACTTGCCAGTGCAGTGCACACGGGTTCGAGCCCTGGTCCGGGAAGATCCCACATGTTGCGGAGCAACTAAGCCTGTGCGCCACAACTACTGAAGCCCGCGCACCTAGAGCCCGTGCTCTGCAACAAGAGAAATCCCCGCAGTGAGAAGCCCGCACACCGCAACTAGAGAAAGCCCGCGCGCTGCAACGAAGACCCAACGCAGCCATAAAACTACCCCAGACAGGGGATTTATGGCAGCCTCATTTCCCAAATGTTGCTGCTTTTAGTCAGCTAAGGGAAGTTCTGAGAAGGCTTCTTTCCACATCTGTTGAATCTCAAATGTCTTCAGCTTAAAATAATCTTCATATCAGCTCTAGGTCCCCACAATAGTATGAGTCAGAAATACTGTCTTGCTGCATAAGGAAGTGACTTGTAAACTGTTCTCTATTGCTGCCTAGCACCTGGCAGTGCCCCTTTAGCTGGCAAGCTGTAATCCTCTTCATACTCCGTGTCAGGAGAGCTATGGTTATTTGAAGACATCTGAAATTCTCTTTGAAATTTAGCATTTATTACATTGTTATTCTCACATATGCTATTACTATAATTTGAAAGATTTTATAAATCCTATAAAAATATTACTCAAGTTATGATATTGCTAAAATCAGGGCTTAAAAAACGCAACCATAAATCAAAAAGTTCAGAATAAAAGTTAGATAAATTGGTATGAATAAAGCCAATCAACCAAATTAATACTATGCTATTAATTTAAAGGATAGCCCTATAGGAAAAATTTTAAATAGTGCTTAAAAATTAAAAGCAACATTAAAGTAAAAATGTGCTCCAATAGTTATAGATTTTTGTACTCTACAAATGCATTCCTCATACTCTTTATTCCTTTGGTAAAATGAGCTTGATTTATGAGAGATCTCCCAAAACTTGTTCCTTGAGTAAAATATGACTTCTATATAAGAGGGTGGACAAAAGCTAAGACATCATTTAGTTCATGAGCAAAGAATCAAATTGCAATTCAATGGCAGGTGTTTATGTAGAAGAGCTAGAAGTTGAACAAACGTCTCAAAACTCTAGGGCAATTAATTCTGCAAACTCATGGCAATTATAAAGTAATTCATCCTTAAAATTATGACAAGATCAGAGATGATAAGTATGTGAACTCTGCTTGAGTTCACATAGAAATAGATTTGTGAAATAGTTCACATAGAAATAGTTCACATAGAAAGAGATCTATGAAATAATGTTGATTGAAAACAATTATTGATAGAATTCAAAATAGTACAGTTATTTTAGTTATGGACAAAATACAAGCTTGTCTACTGATAAAGATGGGGACTTAATTTAAACCTATGTAAATAGGACTTATATTCATTGGGTCCTCATTTTCTCCAGAGTTGTTTGTGTTAATGATAAAAGCAAATTGGATTGGTCACCAGCTTCGGGAGGGGAAGGGAGGAAGGATAAATTGATGGAGCACAGGGGATTTTTAGGGGAATGAAACTATTCTGCATGATATTGTAATGGTGATGTATATCATTATACATTTGTCAAACCTATAGACTATACAACCCAAGGAGTGAACCCTAATTTAAACAGTGGACTTTAGTTAATAATAATTATCAGTATTGGCTCATCAATTATAACCATTGTACCACACTAATACAAGATATTAGTAGCAGGAGAAATTGGGGGGTGGGGAGTAGGGGTGAGGAAGTATGTGGGAACTCTGTACTTTCCACTCAATTTGTCTGAAAACGTAAAACTGCCCCCCAATTAATAAAGTCTATTAATTAAAGAAAAAATCTAAATTCGTGGACAAAGAGATTGCTGATTCTTGGGAAAATCTTGAATCATCCAACACAAATCAGGCTAAAACGTGCTTTCGGTTCTTTATTTACTTTGCTTAAAGGTGCACTGTTTATTTTGCAAGGGCGTAAGGATTAAGAACGAAATGAGAGCAATAGAATGTCTTGCACCCGTTGCCAAAATAAGCTTTCCCATTTGGTTGACTGTCATGAACCTTAAGTCAATCTACTCAGAGGAATACATTTCACCCTTTATAGGAAAAGTTCCAAATCTTCTTCCATTTATTTAGGAAGTAAACCCTGTATCTTAGAAATTCTCACTACAGGATTCACCACATCAACAAACATATATGCTTTATTGTTAGTATCTTGTTGATCAGCAATCACACATTTAACTTCATCAGAACACACAGCTTTTGCTCAGGCGGTGAACCAGGTCAGTAAGCCCCTCTCGGCAGTGGAAGCTCCGTAATCCTAGAGAATTCAAACTCGCTCTCACAATCAGATCCCAGTCTCCTCCAGCCCTGGAGCCACTTGCATCCTTCCTCCTCTGGCCACTCACCACCTTCTCTGCCTTGAATCATGGGTGTAAACTCAGGTCTATGAAAAAAACCTGTCTTTATTCTCTCCAACTCAGCTTGCTTTCTGACCTCAAGCTTTATTCCTCCTAGCTGGTGGAAAAAGAGCCTCCCGTCTTTCTGGGGTTCCAGGAGCCTCCGAGTGCCAAGATGTTGAGTGGTGGCGGTGGGGGGGAAGATCCTCTGGGCCATGGTCCATGCAGGTTACTGCTTAGACATGCCATCCCTCTCCACATGTTCCCTGCAGGTCCCCCCGCTTTCTGCTGCTCTCCTCTGTGAGTGGCACGTGGGAGTCTTTGGCAGGGCTGCCTTTGATCCTGTCTGCCTCGACACAGCCATTTTCTCTCTGGGATTGTTTCCCTTAGTAGTGACTAGTAGTGACTGTGCTGCAAAGCCAGGCACAGGTCTTTTCTGCTCCTGGAATCCACAACCTCTCATTTTTCCCTCTAGACTCCCACCTGTTAAAAACACTTTCCAGTGTGGGGATGACACGGGTTCTCTTTCTTCAATCTTCTCCACAACACCCCACCCCTAGGATTCCCTAAGGGCTTAAGTTTTTGGAACAAGAAGCAAATACTTTCAAACTATATGTTTTCTCCCTTGTACATCCCTTCCTTAAGGCAATGAGGCCAGAGCCTGCTGGGATGGAAGGAAGGGAAAGGAACCCTACAGAGAAAAAGGAAGAAACCCATATTTCAGAGTATTATTTGGCCATGTATTTTATTTGTATGGAGGCCTTATCTCCCTTAGTATATTTTAGACTGTCTGATAGCATGAGTTGTTTTCTCATGTCCTCCCTAGCATTTGTGGAGTGAAAAGGTGTGCCCTTGACAATCTCTGGTTGTTCTTCCTTTAGCCTTGACCAGCTTTGAGGACAGCTCTGGAGCGCTCCTGTGGGGTCGTGATGGTCACATCCCCGCCACTACATCGTAAGACTTCCGTTCCTAGTCATTGCCAGCTATTACATTTTGGGCCACCTTTGGAGACATTGGATACCTCTGAACACAGTTCACCAGAACAGGTGAAATTTTAAAACTGTTTGTTTCTTTTTTTTGCGGTACATGGGCCTCTCACTGTTGTGGCCTCTCTGGTTGCAGAGCACAGGCTTCGGACGCGCAGGCTCAGTGGCCATGGCTCATGGGCCCAGCCACTCCGCGGCATGTGGGATCTTCCCGGACTGGGGCACGAACCGGTGTCCCCTGCATCGGCAGGCGGACTCTCAACCACTGTGCCACCAGGGAAGCCCTAAAACTGTTTTTCATCAAATAGAAAAGGTTTGGTCCAAATTATTAAGAGGATGGTGAATGTTATAACCATATTACTATGGCAGGGGGAGGGAAGGGGTAGAAACCTTCATACATTGAGTCTCCTACCCCAAAATGCCACAGTGCTTCTCCAGAATCCTCACATCAGATACTTCTCTAGGCTGAAGCACTGAAGGCCTCTCTTAAAATGTAAACATGCTCTTTGGTGATGCTCTTAGATGACCTTGGTTACTCAGTAAAGAGCAAACTCTGAAGGAATGAGACACAGGACAGGTAAGTTTTGATGAAACAAGATGGGAGGGGGAAAGGAGAAGACCACAGCCTCCCATGGCAGACTGGGGTGAGAAATGGAATATGAAAGGGTCCCAGAAACCAACCCAAAGGTTTGTAATTTTGTCCAAGATGGGTAGGCCCTGCATCTGTGGTAAGGGTGTGTGTGAGCCCATCAACTTTCTTTTTTGTGAGTTGTCCGATGAGCGCTTTATTCATTCTCCCCTCAACTCCGCAGGGAGTCTGCAGCTGTGGTATTTAGCTCCCCCCCCCCCCCCCCCCCCCGGTTTCCATTGTGTGGGCTGGAGTCCCAGGGCCCTGGGTGGCTCACCAATGGGAGGGCACCACGCTGATGGAGAAGGGGGAATAAGCTCTTCTTTGCTCCAAGCACTTCTCCTCGCCTGCTTCCACTGCCCAGGGCTGATGGGGTTCTCCATGCACTACCACCCCGCCCCTCACAGCCCTGAACCTTGTCAAGGCCATTAACTTTTTTTTCAGCTATATCAATTTAAGAATTTTTTATTGAGATGTAATTGACATCTAACATTATATTAGTTTCAGGTGTGCACCGTAGTGACTCGCTATTTGTATGAAACACTGAGGCTGGGTGCTGAGCAGCCGATCTAGTGAGGGTGGATCCAGGCCTCATTCACCCCTGCACCCCAGCGCCCAGCCCTGTGTCTGCCACCTCAGGGCTACTCCCGCAATGTTTGCTGTGCTGAAATGAGCTACATTTAGTCCATGTTTGTGGAATTTGGGTCTACCTCCCCAAGCCTTTTAATATCCCCAAATAAGTCTCAGGTTCTGAAAAAGATAAATTGATTTTACTAATTGACTCAGGTAATTCTAATTCTTTGTCTTTGCTTTTCTAATTGTTCTCCGTGCTCCGCAAGCATCAAGGAGTGCAACGTGCAAAGGAGTAGAAAGCGAAGGGAAAGACCCCTTCTTATCGTCAGACCAGACTCTCATGTGCTTTTGTGGAATAAGTATTTTGTACCAGGACTGGACAACAAAGTGGGTTCCTGATGAGAGAAGATAAAAGGAATGACCGCATTGGCCAGGATGGGGATATCAAAGGCCTTCTCTTCCCTCTGGCCAGCTGCTCAGCTCCTTGGAGCAAAACAACCCGTCTGTCTCTGGGATTTGTGTTAGACCTGATCCTGCTGTGGCTTTTCCCAGACTGTGTAAGGCAAGTTCCCTGCTTATTATCCTTGTTTAGACTCAGCTAAACTCATAAACAGGACCTCTTAGGTTGCTGCTATTGTTTTGAAACTTTCTGGGCTTTGAAGATGGTCTGTAATTGATTTATTAATTACAGAAACTCGAATTCTTGGTTCATTAACCCTCACAGCTCCCAACTCTTGGTGCAAATGGAATAACTTAGTTGAAGTGCAGCTGAATTATCTAAACCTGCAAAAGATTTTAAATGGTTGCTGTTTGACCTTGTGGTATATGTGTGGCAAACTGTTCTCTGAACCCCATACAGGACATGTAAGAAAGGAGATTTGAAATCAAAACTGTCCTGGGAGTGAGTCGTATGGTCACTTTATGTATATTGCATATTACTTGGTTAACGAAGTCATTTGCCTAAACTTGTTTTGCTTAGACAGATATTATAACTACTTGTATTCTATAACCCCACACCAATTTGAAGGTATGGCAAACAGTTGTGGGTAAGAGAAAGACGGGAAGAGACAAACTGGTTCAGGTGTTCTGAATGAATGTTTTGGAGATACAGGTGCTACTGATCTAAAATTAGTTATTTGTATTTTATTATATTATTTCCATTACATAGCATATATTAATACAATATATAAGTATATACATTATATTAAATTTAATGTATTCTATTAATATATAATGCATTAATATGAACATATAATTTATTGATAAATATATTACTTTACATTTGATATATTAATATATAACATATAATGTATGTTATATTAAATATAAATTATATATATTTAATTAGAAGTCCCTTTAGTAAATAAAACAACTTGTGCTGTGATGGCTCAGTGAATACTGTTTGGTTAGCACCTGAATTCCAGCTGCCTTACTTTAGAGGCGAGAGTGCCTCACTGCCAAGCTTTAGTTTAGTTTATCATTTTTCCTCATTTTGCCTTTGCAGAAAGTCATCATACGAGTTATCTATTTCTGTGTAACAAGCTAACCTACACCTCAGTGGCTTAAAATTGTAAGTGTTTATTATCTCAGTTTCTGTGGGCCTTGAATCTGGGTGCAGCTTAGGTGGTTGCTTTAGCTCCTTGCTGGCTGTTGACTAGAAACTTCCCTCAGTTCTTTGACATGTGGGCCTCCCCACAGGGCAGTGCACAGCGTGACAGCAGGATCCTCAGAGTGAATGAGAGTGAGCAAAAGAGAGCAAACAGAAGCCTGTCTTTCTGTAACCTAATCTTGGAAGTGACACCCCATCAATTTTGTCACAGGGTCTAGCCCAGTCAAGGGGAGGGGATTCCACAAGAGCATGAATATCGGGTGTAGGGATTTGAAGCCATCTTAGGTGGTGCCTACCCCAGCTAAAGAGAGAAAAGTGACTTTTTACTTATCACAGGATACTATCAAGAAAGTGAAAAGACAATCCACAGAATGGGAGAAAATATTTGCAAACCACATATGGAATAAAGGTCTAATATCCAAAATACATAAAAAGCTCTTAGAGCTCAGCAATAAAAAGACAAATAACCCAATTTAAAAATAGGCAAAGGTTTTACATAGACATTTCTCTAAAGAAGGTATACAAATGGCCAATAAGTGCATGCAAAGATGCTCAGCATCATTAGTCACTAGGAAAATGCAAATCAAAATCACAATGAATACCACTTCATACATACTATATTTTATTTTATTTTTTAATTAATTTTTTTACTGGAGTATAGTTGATTTACAGTGTTGTGTTAGTTTCTGCTGTACAGCAAAATGAATCAGTTATACATATATCCCCTCTTTTTTAGATTCTTTTCCCATATAGGTCATTACAGAGTACTGAGTAGAGTTCCCTGTGCTATACAGTAGATTCTTATTAGTTACCCATTTTATACAGAGTAGTATGTATATGTCAATATCAATCTTCCAATTTATCTCTCCCTGCTCCTTCCCCCTGGTAACCATAAGTTTGTTTTCTACATCTGTGACTCTATTTCTGTTTTGTAAATAAGTTCATTTGTACCAGTTTTTTACATTCCACATATAAGCGATATCAGATATTTGTCTTTCTCTGCCTGACTTCTTTCACTCAGTATGACAATCTCTAGGTCCATCCATGTTCTATATTTTTTTTTAATGAAGAATAACAAATGTTGACAACAATATGGAAAAACTGGAATCCTCACACACTGAGGTATAAAATGTTGCAGCCACTGTGGCAGCAGCTTGGCGGTTCCTCCAAAAGTTAAATATAGAATTACCACATGACCCAGCAATGCTACTCCTACATAGGTATACACCCACGAGACATGAAAATATACATTCACAAAAAAACCTTGTACATGAATGATCATAGCAGCATTATTCATAATAGCCAAGAAGTGGAAATAATGCAAATGGCCATCAACTAATGAATGTAAAAACAAAATGTAGTATATCCATGGAATGTTACTCAGCCATAAAAAGAAATGAAGCACTGATACATGCTACAACATGAATGAACCTTGAAAACATTATGCTAACTGAAAAAGGCCTGACACCAAAGGCCACACAGTGTATGATTCCATTTATATGAAATGTCCAGAATAGGAAGATCTGTAAAGACAGAAAACAGATTAATGTTTGCCAGGGGCTTGGAGGAAGGGGGAATAGGGACTGCCTGCTAATAGGTACAGAGTCTCTTTTTGAGGTGGTGGAAATGTTCTGAAATTATATAGTGGTGCTGCTCACACAACGCTGAGAATACACTAAAATCCACTGAATTGTATACTTTAAAATGGTGAATTTTATGTTATGTGAATGTTTTCTCAATAAGAATTCTTTTTTAAGTTACTATGACCAATGGTAACAAATATTTACTGAATGTTTGGTAGCCCGCTAAGTACCCTGCTGTGTCTGGGTTCTAGAACCCAGGTCAGTGGTTTTCAACCTCAGTGGCACATTAAAATCACGTGGGAGCTTTTAAATTTTTTGATGTCCAGGCCACACCCCAGACCAGTTAAATCATAATCTCTAGGGTAGAATCCAGGCCTCAGTTGTTTTTAGGGTGCCGCATGAAATTCCATCGTGTGGCCAAGTTTGAGAAGCGCCAGCCTAGAGCATCATGACTCCTCAGCAAGTTGGGTTCCCTCAAGAAGTGACCACTCTCACACCCTATCTTCTTTCCATTAACAGTAACCAGCAAAGAAAGCCGCTTGTCCTCAAGGACAGACTCCTCCTCCAAGTCAAGACGGCCCCTTAGTTTCTCCTAATTCACCACTATTTTCCTTTCTGTGGGTGACCCAGAATGTTCAATAATTTAAAGAGGGAATATTTTATGCTTTGCAGTGTTTTTCTCATTTTGGATTAGGTTGCTGTGATTCAGCTGTGGGCAGAGAATCATTTGTTCCACTTTGGAACAAAAGTTGAATTCTGTCCAAATGGGTTGGCACTTTTGCCCTGAAAAACCTGGATTTTATAGTTTATGAAGTTCTGAGCAAAAACCTAAGATGAAATGAGCTAGAAATGTGAGGATTTTTACTGGGCCTATGTGCTCTCTTTTGTATTTATCATCTAACTGTAATACTTTAGTTTATTTAACCATCTTCTTGGCCTCCCGGAGCCTTAGCCGTTAGTGTCCTAAATCCTCCGTTGGCAGCAGCACAGCAACCTGCTTTTGCGCGGTATTCATTCTGTTTGGCAAACCCATGTGGTCTTGTGTCCCAAACCACAAGTGGTCCTAGTTAAATCCACCAATCAAAGTACTAACTTTTTTTTTCATTTGTCCCCAGAAGCTGAAGCCAATTTGTGAAAAAGATGGAAATAGGTTAAAAAAAAAAAGAAGTTAGATGATTTTAAAGAGCCATAAAGAAAGGATCAGCTACAGCTACTTTAGGCTACAGGAGGGCCAGTGAGGTTTTAGCTAGTAACCCACCCTGGTGGTAGGTGATGGGGGTAAATATAGTTGGCCCTCTGTACCCCGGGTTCCACATCTGCAGATTCAACCAACCATGGAACAAAAGATATTTGAAAAAAAATTCCAGAAAATTCCAAAAAGCAAAACTTGAATTTGCCATGCGCAGGCAACTATTTACATAGCATTTACATTGTATTTGCAACTATCTCTATAGCATTTACATTGTATTAGGTATCATAAGTAATCTAGAAATGATTTAAAGTATACAGGAGGAAGTACACAGATTATTTGCAAATACTATGCTATTTTATATGAGGGACTTAAGCATCCAAGCATTTTGGTATCTGCAGAGGGTCCTGGAACCAATCACCCAAGGATCCCAAGGGACAGCTATACACAGGATCAGCTCTGGCACCACTCACAGGGACAATGAGAGAAAAACTCTGGAAGGGAGACTGATCAGAGACTAGCAACTGCCGAAAACTTCTGGCAAGAAGACGAAAAATTGCAGAGGCCTGTGGAGTGGAGGAAACCCACCCAGACAAGAAAGGGCAGGGAAGTAACAAGCAGAAGCATGTGGATCTGCCCCTTGAAGGTAGTAGAAATCAGCCATCTTTCTAGAATTAAATAGAGTGCACAAGTCTTAAGTATATAGCTCAGTGAATTTTTACACACATACACCTATGAAACCACCAGCCAAATCAATACCTAGAACATTTCTATCTTCCCAGAAAATTCTCTCATGCCCCCTCCAGCTCAGTAGCCTCCTCCCCTCACCCAGAAGTAGCCTCTATTCTTATTCATATCACTGTAAATTAGCGTTGCCTTTTCTTGATCATCATATGAATGGAATCATATAGCATATTTTCATTTGTATATGGCTTCTCTTGCATGGCATAATGTTTCTGAGATCTACCCGTATTGTTATGTGTATCAATAGTTTGTTCTTTTATTATTGCTGCGTAGTATTTCATGATATAAATATGCCATATTGCTTATCCAGTCCTCTGTTGATGGACATTTGGCTTGTTTAAAGTTTGGGGCTATTCTGAATAAAGCTGCTATGAACACTGGGGGTACAGGCCTTTTCATAGACATACACATTCATTTTTCTTGAGGAGATATCTAGGAGTGGAATTTCTGGGTCATAGGGTAGGTATATGTTTAACTTTAGTAGATACTGCCAAACAGTTTTTCAGAGGTGGTTGTATCATTTCACACTTTCACTAACAGTGAGAACTCCAGTGGTTGTTTTTGAGATGAAAAGAAAATCAGCAAATACCTTAACCTGGGCCAACTTCCTGGCAGCATAAAATTTGGGATATTTGCGGTTGAGTGATGAAAGAAAAACAATAAAAACAGAGGCCAGGGAGGGGCCTGTAACTGTCCCACCCCAACCAGTACCAGCAGGAAGGAAACCCTACAGCTATTTTGGGATAGATTCCTAGCAGGGACATTAGCTAGCTAAAAGGGAAAGGGATTTGATAGAAAGGGAGATGCTAAAGTTGTTTCCAATTAACCTGTTGAAAAACAGTAATTAAAAAAAGGAAAAGCAGGGTAGGTAGCAATGTTCCTCATACTTTACTGGGCAGGAGAATTCTGGTTAAAAATACAGAATTTGCATTTTTAAAGAGATATCCCAGGTGGTATCACTGGTGTTTCAAAAACTACTCCAAAACATTGTTTAGAGGTTCAGCAATGCTAGCACATAATGTGTGCTGGGGATAAAAGTAAGAATATTCCCATCTCACTCTACATCATAGCACCTTACTGACACTGACCTTTTTGACCATTAAATGTTTTGTTGAGTATTCTTTTAAACACTTAAAAATTGGGAGAAAGCTTCCACCTTTCACTTTGCCCCCTGGGGGTCTTCTTCTCAGTAATGCAAGGTTTAAAAGTGAGAGTCGGCTTCTTTCCTCCCTTCCTTGTTGCCAAGGAGGACGATCAACCTAGGTGACCCCAATCCCCTTTTAAAAGGATTTACTGTTAGTCTCAATGTAGAGCTCTGAGGAGATATCAAAAACTACTGATACATCATTGCAAAGTTAAAGTTATTTTGGCACATAGTAGGTACTTGACACATGTTAACAGAGTTACATTTATTTCATTAAAAAATATATTAAGTGCCTGTTATG